TCGCTGCTGTCGCAACAACAAACAAACAAACAACAGCCTACTGCTGCATCACCACTGTTCCTTCCAAGCATCATCACCATCATCACCATCAACGGCATTAACGACCTCGGCCTTGACATCGACGACGACGTTCACCCCTGTTGACACTTGCTCAACGTCCCACGACCTCACCACGAGGCCTCGACCAGATCGACAACCAACTACTATAACCAACTCTCCTTCTCCCTGGCCGAAGATCGTCTCGCTCGTCCGCCGAACCCGCCCGCTTACCGTGGCCGGCATTTATCACCAAATAGGTATGTCCTATCCATGTCCTGTTCTTCTCAGAGGCACATGCGCGCACACGTGGATGCGTGGTCATCGGTGGGACCCTTAGCCCGCGCCGGCGCGAACTGCCAGGCTTGGGATCCCCCTCGCTCTCATCGTCAATGCTAACAACGCACGTCTCCTGCCAGCATCACCCCGATAATAAACCATCACCCATCCACCCCCGGTCCGTCCACACACCTCCCAACATGGACTCGGGTCAGGCACAAGCGTACGTTCCCACCCATCCACCCCCCTCTCCCCCTAACCCCTTCCCCCTTCTCGGTCTTCCTGGCAGGCCGGCCTGGCTTACACGCTCGACGCAGCCGGCAACAAATACACGCGTCTCCCTTCGCGCCTTTCCAGAATCACTTCTCCCAAGACGCCCCGTCCCACTCAACGCCCATCCTCACTATGAACGACAACGAAGTGCCCGTGACGTCCGAGAGTCTGGAGCAGCAGCAGCAACAGCAGCACCCCGCCTCCTCTATGTGGACGACTCCCGTCGCCCACGGCCTCAAGCCCCGGCCCGCCACCATCCACGAAGGCTTCGCTTATCCCATCGGCGAGGACTACGGCGCCCTCACCCCCTGGGACTCGTCCAACCTTCCCTTCCAGCAGATGCACGGCGATGTCCTGTCCCGGCCTGGCTCCGTCCACTCCTTCCACCAGCCTCAGCAGCCCTACCACAATGCCCTGGATAACTGTGAGTTTGCCCGCGAATCTCGTCCCCAAGAAACATGACTGATATGTTTGCCAGCCTGGATGCACAAGCCCTGTGATGATGGCTTCGATCTGAACGGTCTGGAGCATGATATGCCTATCGGCCAGGCCATCACCACAGACGACGCCGTCATCCTGGACCTCAGGTATGGCAACCGCCAGCAGGACGGCGAGCACGTCAACATGGACGAAGCCCCCCGCGCCCGCCGCATGTCCGGATCATCCTTCACCATGTCGACGTCAGGCCCCCTCTCGGACATGCCCTCCTACGACGACTTCTCCGCCGCCATGTCGGACGCCCCCTCATTCAGCACCGACTACCCGCCGACATCGAACCGCAACTCGCTCATGTCGTCGACTCAGCTCTCTCCCGTGGCGTCGCCGCGCATGACGCCCCAGAGCCGGACCGAGCTCGTCCGGTCACAGAGCCGTGGCCGTGCCTCGCCTTCGCCGCGTCCCGGCGTCCGCTCGGCGCCCTACACCTTTGACGGCAACCGGAACAAGCGTTGGTCCACCGGTACGACGCCCGCCCGCCGCCAGTCCCCTTTCATCTTCCAGGCCACCCAGGACGTCTTTGGCGCACAGCACATGCAGCGGACCATGTCGCCCGGCGGCATGCAGCACGATCAGCACCATCAGCAGCAGCTCACCCAGGCGTCTCTCAACTACACCAACCTCCAGGCGGTGCAGCAGCCACCGCATTTCATGGTGCCCAACGTGCCTCACTTCTCCCGCGGTCCCAACTTCTTCATGCCTTCGCAGATGCCGCCCCAGGGGTTCAACCCGCACGCGCAGCCCCCTAACCTGGACAACCCGCCTACGCTCATGTCACACGGCCTCTTCCGGATGCTGTCAAGCAACGCGGAGCAGCACCCCATGCACGCGCATTACGCTGACCACTGCGACCCGCCCGACCTGTTCGCGTCGCTGCACGAGCAGCAGATCCCGCCGCCTCCCGAGGACATGAACCCTTCGGACCCGGACATGGTGCCCCACGAGCAGGAACTGCGCTTCGAGGGCGACCTGTACACGCCCAGATGGGTTCGCGGACACGGCAACAAGCGCGAGGGCTGGTGCGGCATCTGCAAGCCGGGCCGCTGGCTCGTCCTCAAAAACTCGGCCTACTGGTACGACAAGTCGTTCACGCATGGCGTCAGCGCGGCCACGGGCAGCCCGTTCCACGAGCCGATTCAGACGCGGCGCATGGACGGCAACCCGGACGTCTGGGAGGGCCTGTGCACCAGCTGCAACGACTGGGTGGCGCTGGTGAGCACCAAGAAGAAGGGCACCACATGGTTCAGGCACGCGTACAAGTGCCACACGCACCCCAAGATCAAGGACGGCCCCAAACGGCGCCGTGAGACGAGCCACCCGCGCATCCTCGCGGCGTCGCAGATGGCCAAGCCTGGGACTGTCAAGACGGAGCCGCAGCCTCCCCAGGCGCCCATGACCCCTCAGATGACGCCGTCGGCCATGTCGACCAACACGCCGACGCCGGGCCAGCTGCAGCCTCACGGGCACTACCAGCAGGCCATGTCGCGTCCGCCCTCGTCGCACATGCACCAGGAGCACATGCGGAACATGATGTCGAGCCCCCTCGGCCCCATGCCCAATATGATCTAGGCGGACGTTCTCACTTTCCTATGTCTCCTTCCCCTTCTCCTATGTCTTTTCACACATCACTCCCCCCCTCGCGGAACAAAAAAACGAAACGCTGGCGGCTGCGGCCTCACGTCACGCTGTTATGAAAAAGCAGTTTCCTGCGTGCTTCCCAATCCCACGGACACGAACGACGACACGCATGGTTTTTTTTTCTTCCCTCTTTTTCCTTGATGTTGGAAACACACACACTATAGACTGGTATCACGACGGGGTGGCGGTGCAAGCGGTTGTTGACATGATGATACCTCTTTTTGGTCGAGGGGGGAAGGGAACGAAGACGAGCGACTTTATATGCGCGGCAGAGCCAGCTGCGTGGGGTGTGAGATGGTCGAAAACGAAGCCGACGATATGCTTCCCCCCTTGCGAAGAATCTATTTTATTTTTTCCCTCTTCACTCCTCTCATTGCCCCCCCCATTTATTTTTTCTTTTATTCTGTCACTTCCCCCCTGTCACTTGCTTTTCTATTTCCTATGCCCCTGTAACTTTTGTTTTTTGTTTTTGATAATGTTGTAGATAGCCTCACATACCCTGGGAAAACGGTCCTCGAGGACAGACACACACGGGCAGGGCGCAAGAGATGGGAAAGAAGGCACATGGGTTTTATCACGAGGGAGAAGAGAGAGAGGAAAATTGGCTGGCGGGCTAGCTGGCTGGAGGGATTGGATGGAGATGGATAGCAAGCAGCTCGACCTGAACATGCTCATCTTTGACTTGCACTTGCACTTGCACTTTTTTGGTGTCGTGATATCGTACTCACTGAGAGGGGAGTGGAAGCTGGCTCAACTGCCGGGGCGAGTCCACCGACGCGTTGAGCCCACCCTTCGGGAACGGACATGTGAAGCACGCGCGTCAGGGCAGGGCAGGGCGAGGTTTGACTGCCGAGGGCATCCCGGGGGAGGAGGGGGGGAAGGAAAGAGTCATCCAATCTCCCGGGTTCATGCGCGCGGGACGGCGGTGCCGGGGGGGACCCTTCGTCCGGGGGAGGATGGGCCGCTAGCGAGGGGGGAGGGGAGGGAGGATGGTTGTTCATCGCCGGCGATCGAGTGAGGGGTGAGGGTAGAGAGGGAGGGAGAGGGAGGAGGATTTCTATTTTTCGCTTTGATCGGCCGGTGGTGGGCGATCTGGAAGATTCGGGGTGGTCAACCTGGAAGTTGAGGAAGGAGAGGGGTCCGTCTGATGTCGGCCCGGCTTGGGTCGTTGGTCGGTGGCAGGTAACGACTGAAAAGAGGGACGTCGAAAAAGACGGCGGATTTAGCTGTGGTGAGAAAAGGACGGGTTGTTGGTTGTGACTTTTTTTGTCTATCTGGTGTCGTGCTTTCGTGGCCGCGGGGTAAGCGGCCAAGATGCAAGCACTTTAGCCCCCCTGTAGCAGGTGCGGTTGGGGAGGGCCAATCGATTTGAGTGGTTGTGCACTTTCCCCAACAGCTGCTCCCGCACTCCCTGAAGCTTTTGGTCTGGTATGATCTGCCCAGAAAACCCGGGCAATTGCTGGCTGGAATCATTCAATTTTTCATCATCTTAGTTTTCCATGACGAAACTCGACGCCCGGGCATCGCCCTCGTCCCGGTTTGACTCCAAACCCGGCCATGGCGATCCCGGCGCGGCCACGTGCCGTCCGTCTGGGCGATACCTTTTCCTCCCGAGGTCAGTACGAGGACCAGTCTGGCCAACAAGCCACACCGAGCCCCCTTTTGAGCCTTTCCGAGTCGGCGCTGCTGACACCTGCAGCTGCAGGTCCCCACGTCATGCATGCGGGCAGATAACAATCTCCCTCCTTGGGCCTCCAATCGTCCCATTTGGCTGCAGCCCCAAGGCTGATGGCTGGCTGGAGGCCGGGGTATGAGGTGCCCGAGGGGGGAGCAATATCGGCGGTGCCGTGGTGTGTGCCTCTTGCCGAGGAATGGGGGATGGAATATTGACCGAGCATTTAGATGGCATCCTTCATCGATATGATCATTTCGAAAGATCCAATACTTCCACGCACGCTCTAGGAACGGCATTGGCAGCTGTGGTGTGTCGGCCAGCTGCATCCCGAGGCTCGCGTGCACACTTGGTCCCTTGGCAAGCGCGAGATATCGAAGCGAACGCCGTGGTTCATCTGTAAGGTTTCTCTAGCGGACGGGACCATCGTGATGCCGGCGCCACTGGTGAGTTTGATCAGGCACGCTCTCTCTTCAATCTACCTAGATTGACGAACCGTTGGCATCGGCCAGCAAAAGAGACGAGCACGCAAGATGGAAGCTTTGGTCAGAGTTCAGTGAGTCGTGCCGACATGGACGCTATCCTTGGCCGGTCGTCTCACTGCATCCTCCCCGTGGCGCAATGGTAGCGCGCAAGACTGTGAGTATCCACCCTCAAAGAATGTGATCATGACATGCACTAACACCTCCCAGTCTAATCTTGAGGCTGCGGGTTCGAGCCCCGCCGGGGAGTTCAATTCTTTTTGCAGTCATGAACTGGTCGTCCCAGGTGGGAAGGCCGTTGGAGTCAGCTGTCCAGGGGCACTGGCAGGGAGGGACTTGGCCTCCCCGTCGCCGAGAGACACCTGACGACATAGTGATGGTACAGGCTGGCCTGTGCGGGTAGCCGAGATTGGACGCGGGTGATGTGAGCTGACTGCATTTGTGGGACAGACAGGAACAAGAACGGTGCATTGACAATCGCATCGCACCGCATTTGCTCGCGATGTCTACGACTTCTGAATCTGAGAGCTGTAGAGAAACTTCAATCAGTCAAAGGTTCGACCCTGACTATCCAGGGACAGCGCCACCCGAGACAGTGACAAAGACGGACAATTCCCATCCGGGATGTCCATGAGACACACTATGGCCTTTTTGATTCCCTGTTTCCTCTCCTCTCTTCGCCTCGGCCATCTCGATCTCTGGCCTGGGTTGGGCGTTAGCTTCCGGAGAAACCCTGCGCCGGTCTGGACCTGGACACCTGGACACCTGGACGATGGACAATCTGGAGAGTCCCGGATATTGACTCTGCACATCGACTGGAGATGTCTCTGGGTTGTGAACACCATTGTCGGCCAAGACAAGTCTGACCTCTCACCCCTCTGGATGACAGTCATCCTCGGCCGGTCGGCTGCTGTAAGCTCCCGGCGGCATTAAACGCTCTTTCGGGCATCCCAGCTCCCTCGGTGGGCTGCCCGTTGGTTTTCGTCAATGCAACCCAACGCAAGTGGTGTCGCATTCCGCCATCTCGCCTGCGCTCTGCCCTGCTGCTGATGCAGACCACGGATGGCTTCCCTGCTTCCTGCTTCGAATAATCCCCTCCCGTGCGTTGGTGCCGAGCAAGCCACATACGGCTGCATTTCTCGCAGTGTCGCCCCCGTGCCTCTCCGGTCCATCCCTGGGCAAGGGAACGGCGAACGCCCCCTATTGGATGGCCCCATCGAACGCTATATCCCTTGCCCGGAGGCGACGGTACCTGCTTTAAGCATGCCACGATGTGACTAGTTGGCAACCGAGCACGCGGAGCTCCTGTGCCTAGCCTGCGGCCTGGCCTCGCTGGGCCGGTTCCCTATCAGCAGCCATGCCGGGCCGTGGCCCATTGGCTAGGCATGCCGTCGGTTGGCACTTGGGGTTCCCGATGAGCTTGCTTTTTCTAGGTTCACAGGGGGAACTTTCGAAAACCCTCTTCGTTGAACTCTCTCCGGGGTCGTCCATCTCGTCCGCCGATCATATCCATGAGCATCACCTCTTGTCGAAGCCGAAAGCAGCGTATCGTAACGGCAACAGACGTCTGCTAAAAAGAAACAGCACGGGCCTTTTGCCTGCGGCAGCCTGGGCCAACTGATTACCGTACCGACCTGCCTCCAGCACGCAACTGAACAGGGGCAAGAAGACCGACCAACTTAGTTACTCGTAGCAGTGCCTAGCTTCGGCCGCCGCCCGTTGCCCGCCCACCACCGCCCGGGCTGTTCGATTGGTCCTCCAGCATTCTCCCGGCTCACTCCCTGTTGGCACGGGTATTCCTCCCAGCTGACGGACGGTTGACGGCAGCAGCAGTAGCAGGCAGGCTGCTCGACCCCTCCTCTCCCTTTCTTCAGGAAACTGCGTCTTTTGCCATCTTTTTCCCATTGTCATATTTGCCTGCTGCATCCCCCCGAGCAGGATTTCTTCAACAAACGCAGGCCAGGCCCGAGCCACCACCGAGCCCCGAGCCCCCGGCTAGTAACCAACTGAAAACCCCCCGACGGCCCCCCTGGCTCAGGCTCTCACATCCGCCCCGGCCCTGACGCTCGCCGTAGTCTCCCAAGCACCACCACTACCACCGCGGTAGGCGCCTGCTCGCCCCGGGCTCTTCTCACTTCCTCTCTGCTGCCCGTGTTACCGGGAGCACTGGCGGAGCACAGACTCGCCCCAACGACGTTCGATTTGCACAACCACCAAACGACCAACTTTCGCCGCTCGTCCCTGGAGATAGGCGGTCTCCTCCCGACACATCCTCTCCCTTCCTTCCTACCGACACTCGTCCATCACCTCCCCCTCCTGTCATGGTTGCGTCGACATTGAGTGAGACAGCCTCAAAATTGCTATGAGTGGGGATCAACAGGCTTCCAGGCAAGAAACTCCACCCGACAGTACCCAGCCCACACTTCACTTCAACCCTCCCCCGTCCTCCCCCAAGAATGATGTTCCTCTGCCCACCCGTGGAATGTCTCGGCTGACACCCGCCTTGCCCGGGCACCGCACAGCAGCAGCAGCAGCAGCTTTGGAGATCCAAACGCTCAGCCGCCCACCCCCCGAAGGACACCCACGTCCGCTGCCTCCGCCGCCTTCCCGAGCCCCGTCTTCGAGACGCCAAAGAACCGCCAAGGGCACTTCACCGACCCCGTCCCGAGCCACGGCCACGGCCACGGCCACTGGACCCCGCGCTTCGCTGAAGAGTATTCCGTCTTCAACACCACCCCCGGCAACCTGCGAGGTTCCGAGCGCGGCCTCTTCGACGACCACCACCATCAATTCGCCTCCCTGACGTCCACATCCGCCCACAAGAGACAGCTCTCCGCCGAAGGGATAGCCGCCGAGATAGCTTCGCATGCCACCCACTTCTCACACCCCGACCACGACCTACCCCCCGTCGATCCCTCGAGGACACTGCAGTCGACGCCCACCGCCGCCGCATTTTCTGAAGACGATAACACTGCTGCCGCCGCCCGAGGCACCGACGCACCCACACCAAAAATAAGATCAGCGAAAAAGGTCAAAAAAGGAAAAGAAGTCGAGAGGCAGCCCCCGCCGCCCGAGCAGCAGACCGTCACCCCTCCGCCTTCTTCCCACAAGGGAGGGCGGAAGCTCGCCCCCAGGCTGCCGGTCGACGCCATGCAAAACGACCAAGGCTACGGCCACCAAGACTTCACCGCTGGAACCTCGCAGCAGCAGCATCAGCCCGGCATGGCGGGCTCCTTTGCCGCCACCGACATGTTCGGATACCCCATGTCTGCCCCGGCCGGGCCAGGCGCCAACTTCTGGGACCCCAACGCGGACCTCGGCGCCATGGATCTCGACTTTGCCGCCTTTGGGCATAACCTCTTCCAGACCACGCCGACGCAGCAGACGCCTGCCCACTCGCACCGGTCTATGCACTCGTTTGACGCTACGCAGATGTTCCAGGAGCCGTCCATGCCGGTTCAGGCACAGCATATTTCTACTCAGGCATTGGAGCCCGCGCAGCAATCGACGGCAAAGGTGCAGAGACCACTGGCACCGAAGGCGGCGGAACATCGTGTGGAGACGAGCAATGTCGCCACGACGTCCATGTCCTCGATGTCTTTTACAGCACCCTCAGACGACCCATTCTTCCTCGTCAGCCCTGGCGCGGGCGTCGATCCCGGCCTGCTTTTCAGCCGTCCTCCTTCGTCCAGCATGGATACCAGCTTCACCACATCACGGCTGATGGACCCCATGACCCAATTCTCCATGGCCAGCGTGGCCCAGGCCCTCTCCAAACCCCCAGCAAGAAGTGATATCCGCCGGTCAAACAGCTCCAGAGACCTGGCACCAGTCAGGCCACCGGACCGCGCCCTGGCAAGCTCGCCCCTCAAGGCAAACGGCCGGCCAGGCCTGCAGCGGAGTTTTAGCGAGAACCGCGGCAGGAGAAACAACCCACCACGACAACAGACTCTCCCAACGCTGGCACCAGCAATACGGCCAAACCCTCCCCTTCCTACCAGCAACACGATCCCCGGACCCAGCCGCCCCCCAAGCTCAAGATCAACAGGCCGCACCTCCCCCCTCAAAGCCACCCACACCAGACTATCCAGCCTCACCTCCATCCCCGAAGCCACCGCCCAACGGACCCGAACCTCTGTCAAATTCACCATCGACGCCAAAGGCCGCGCCCGCGCCGAAACAACCGTCGTAGTCGAAGACCCCTGCCTCGTCCCCGTCGCCCAGGGCCGTCCACCCCTCGGCATCCCGCCCCGCCGACGAGAACAATCCTTCGAATCCCGCTCCGAATACGACGAATCCTCCTCCGACGACGAACCCATCATCATCCCCAGCCGCAACACCTCCTTCGCCCTCCCCGACCCCCGCAAGCCCTCGGGCGCCATGTTCCACCAGTCGCACCGCAGCATCAGCGAGCGCAGCTCGAGTTCTCGCGCAGGTGATGCCGAGAGCGAGGCGGAAACCGTCATGGACGATCCTCGCCGGGGTGCTGCCAACGCAGGCGACGCGGCGAGTGAGCTCCGCAAACTCGTGGAGAGTAGACAGTCCAACAAACGCGTCCCGCAGATGCCGCAGATGCCGCCCGGTCAGCGCTTCGCCTCGAACAGTTTCGCGGGATTCCCTTCTGGGGGACGGTCGCCGACAATGTCCAGCCTGCTTACGCCGTCGACGCACGCGGGGCGTTCGGTGCGGTGTGTGTGTCACCGTGACGGCGAGGCGGAGCTGGATGTGTTTATGGTGCAGTGGTGAGTGTCCAGTCCAGGACGTACCCGAAAGGAGAGAAATTGACGGTCGACAGTGAGTCGTGCGAGCTGTGGCTGCATGGGAGGTGTATCAATATCCCCTCGAAGCATGTGATGCCGAGCGTGTATATTTGTGCGTTTTGTGCGAATACGCCGAATATGAGGGGGGGACGGATGAGGGAACGGGGGGGTGCGTCGCCTTTGGCTTATAAGTCGGCGATGCCGTAGGGGAGGAAGGGGAGGGGGTTATGTTGTATCTGAATTGATGATGTTGAATGATCGTTGGTGGTGGTGATGAGGATGTTCGACGGTGCCGTTGGGCGTCTCTGGCTCGAGTTGCCAACGGTGAGGATCCTTGACTTGAGCAACGCTTGGTATCTGTTGCCGGGCTTGGATGAGGCTGTCTCTCGCTGGCGAAGGTTATCTGGTGGAGGACTATGCTGTCCTTCCTGGGATTACTCACAGTCTTCACCCATGGTACTCCTCCACGCCCTGTCCGAGGGTTCATCAC